TGCATCTGTTAGCGAGCGTAGCGACGCCACTCCCCCGCAAGCGAGCCTTTGCTCTGGAGCAAATTTAATCCAGCTGCGTTCACACATGCACATTTGTTTCGGCGTAGCGTCGCAAACGAGCATTTGCTCTGGAGCAAATTTTTAAACTACCTCCCTGAGGTGGATCAAATTTGGTCCGGTATAAGCTCTTTAGTGGAGCTACGCCGGAGCAAATGTGCACGTGTGAATGCTCGACTGGATTTGTTTCGGCGCAGCGTCGGATCAAACGTTGCCGGGTGAACGGGGCTAAAAGAAAGGAAGTGTTCAAGCGACTGAGCAGGGTGCAAGCTAGCCAGCAGCAACTCCGCGTATGGACCCGGCAAGCTGACGATAATTCCGCTATCTTTGCTGGATCTTTAGCAATCGTGAGGAAAGGAAAACTATTCACATTAATGGTGAGTATTATAACAATATTTTTTAAAAGTATACATTTGGAGGCTTATTATACTGACATTATACACACACACACACACACACACACACACACACACACATATATGGCTCTCACTGAATACATTTTCAAATATTTTGCTTTCATGGCTCTCTTAGTCAAAAAAGGTTCTCGACCCCTGATTTAGGCGCTTGATGGCCGACATTTGTACCACCCCCCGATCATTACCGTTGAAGTGGGTATTCTGCCCATGTTTGGACATGCTGCCTAACTTTCCCATGCCAGCAGGGGAACGCGCAGACCCTGCTTCTTCTCCTCATGCCTGCAAGTCAACCTTTTCACCCAAGAAACATCTCCAACTTCAAAGTGATGTTCTTTGCGAAAGATAGATTTTGACAAGAGATTTCGACGCAGATTATTTTGTGATCACAATATTAATTGTGATCAAGAGAGGGGTTGTTAAGGTATTATTCCTCTCTGTTAGTTGGATTTGAAAGAAACAAAGAATGTAGAATGTTGTTGGAGGTATTTCCTGCTCACTGTGTTTAGGATCACCTTTAGTGCACCTCGACCCCCACCACTTTTAGGGCCCCCCTCCATAGGACATGTTTAACATCAAAAGAGGAACTGTTGTCTCAAGTATCTGTGTTCCTGCCATCACACCAAATGGTGGGTAGTGGTGGTCTGGTCTCACCTCACCGCTCCCAACTTCTTCCAGCCACACCGGGTCAGATGAAATGTATTTTCTTTGTTTCTGGGATTTGCATGAGAGGGGTACCTCCCCGCCTCTTATTATCATATTGGCTCTATATAATCTCATGAATGTGTTTCTTCTACGCTTCCTGATTGAAATCTGGACCCCTCAGGAGCCCAAATCTAAACTGCAGAAATTAAATTAAAACCCTTCGAAGGAACTGTTCATCGCCTCCAGCCTTTATTTGGATTCCCAACATTCTGCTCGTCCGAAATTCAACGAACACGCGGGGAAGAGGAGGCCGCTCTTCCCCCAACACCACCTCCCCGCCGATTACGTTTAGCCCCGTGATGGCCGCCGTCCACCCATTAGCCCTCCTCAATGATTCAATGATTGCGGGTTTTCATGAAGTAGTTACTCAACAATATTTTGAAACATTTATTGCTACTATACCTCATTAAAATCAGTTGGTCTTTATCACTGTCTGCCAGTGTGTGACTGTAGATGTGGTTCATATTTTGTGACACAGCAATCAACAATATGAAATAGTCACGTCAGTTGCACTGGCGCGCCACCCGGGACGAAATGCCCGCAGTTGGGGCTTCATTCCTGAAATCCTGGCACTGAACCTAGTTAACCGGTCCTCAAACTGGGCATTGCACAGGTCAGCCTTATGTTGCGCTGCATCAACTGCAAGCGGCAGCCATCCAGACAAACTTTCTGGAGAAGGTAGTGAAATCCATGAGCTTTGTGCGCTTTTCAATGGTCACGTCGTTTGTGGGACAAGAATAATGCAGAAGCGGTTGCTATGTGGTAAATGGTTGCTGGCAAAAAGAAAGTAGTTCATCTTCCCTTACTTCCAACTTTGAAGCCTAGTGCCCCGCCTCTTCGCCCATACGTGTGGTGCGAGTGACACAATTGCACAAATGAACACCTGCAATCAAAGGACACAATTCATATGGTGTCCGGTGTAAACACAGCAAAATGAAGAATTTGTACTCCGTTACATTCCAAAACTTTAAATCATGTGTCAGCTCTGACATTGTAGAGGAGCTTAATCATGACGACAATTAGTTGCGAGGGTGGATCAAATCCAGCAAATATTAATAATGGGCACCATATCTCATTAACACGGATAGATCAGTACTTGGGAGACAATATCTGCTAAACAAGCACCGTGATTTCATGTTTGAAAGATATGTTGTCGTCAAACACAGACTTTGAAGCAGAAAAACAACTCCCCGCTCATTCTGCTTCTACCCACACCAAAGGATTACTTGAGTATGAAAACACACTGTCAGCTTCATATTGGCTCCTCTAATTACATTTCATTTCATTGTTGTTATTATTGCTGGCCATGGCAGATGAGAACTGGACATGAATGGAATTATTGGATTGAGCTATGCAAGATGACAAAGCTGGCACAATCAAAAATGGTTTGTCTTTAGTCACCAGGGAAGTCTGACAACAGTTTTGTTGTACTGGCGCTCAAATTAATTTTCTGCACCTTTCTCTGCCTTTCACCTCATGAGCCTGAAAGAAATGTGCTATAAAAAGTAATTGAATAAAGAAAAAAACAGTAGTAGCAATGAAAAATAGCCCAGATTTTTAATCATACCCTCAACCATTCATCCTCGCATGCCAATATAATTCTGATGTTTCTCCCCTTTTTCTTCAGACCATCCATGCAATGGACTCAACTCAACCTAATTTCTAGAAAACTTAAAAAAAAAACTATAGTAACTGAAACAAATTGAATTGTTGTGCATCACAATCATCCATCCATCCATTATCCGAGCCACTTAGCCTCACGAGGGTCGTGGCCAAGCCGGAGCCTATCCCAGCTGTCTACGGGCAATGGGCGGAGTATACCGTGAACTGGTTGCCAATCGCAGGGCACACATAGACAACCAACCATTCGCACTGATAATTACACTAAGTGACAATATAGTGTTCCATTCACCTGCCCTGCATGTTTTTGGTATGTGGGAGAAAACCGGAGTGCCCGGAGAAAACCGACGCAGGCATGGGAGAAAATGCAAACTTCATATAGGAAGTCCGGAGCCAGAATCGAACCCTGCACCTTTGCACTGTGAGGCGGATGCGCTAACCACTTGCCACCGGGCCGCCCAAATAAAGTTCTGTCGCACCTCCTGTGGTGGCCTCAAGGTATATGCACTTGTGTTCAGACTCCACAGGGGAGGGACCAAAAACGAGCAACTTCATGTTGAGATTTGTCCTAAAATGCTGATAACAAAGGGGGAGAGGGAACAAGAGAGAGAGAGAAAGGAACATCCACATTTCCACTGACCAGCAGAAGGGCACTGGGATACTAAAATGAAATCTCACCATCACAGCATGCACGGTGTCTCCCGTGCTGGCAACACAATGTAAACAACGGCGTTTTCGAATAGCTAGTTGTTAATCCGCTGGTCAGTCACCTCACATTCCCAATGATGATCAGTCTAAGAAACTGTTCATTCTCCTATCCCACGTCGTGCTTTCTCTTGTTTCACTTCATCATTGCGCAGTTGTTATCCTTTTCCAGTCCAGTCACTTCATGGATTTAACTTGTTGCGGGTATTTTGGGGCCTGTTTATTCACCCCCATCAACTAACACGCAGGAGTCGTGTTCTGCGAGTTTCTGCTACCCGTCAGAGAAACAGGCGTTCATCAGTAACTGATTAAGAGGTTAGTCGGTACCTGACCTGGTTAGACATTACACTGATTGCCTAAAATACACTTCCATCAGTGCTTAGTTGGGCTTTTTTTTTTTTTTTGTCATCATTCGTCATTCTTCAACACAGCGGGCATCAGCGATGAGAGCTGATGGATCTTCAGTCAATACTGACAGAATAACCCTCTCTGGTAATAAACATGGCTGAGAGGTCATTCTTTGTAATATAATTCACAGTCATGGTTTCATGAAATAAAATGCAGACATCCAGAATCTTGGTCAACACATTCATGATACACGCAGGAACAAGCCTAAAGTAAAAAGCAGTGCTTAGAATTCTAATTCTAATAATTAAGAAATGTTTGTGTCCTTGTGTCCTTTTTAGATCTGATTGGAAGTAATGCCACTAATCGCAGGAAGCACAATGGTATTTGTAACAATCACTTCGACTGGCTGTTAGTGAGCAAATGCCAATTAGTGCATAAGAAGAAAGCAACGGATATGGAGCCAAGTTGTCTGGGACCCCTCATTGAGAGAACAGACAAAGCAGAGCTCAAAGACCCCTTATGACGAAAACGATATTTGGAGAGAGTTTTCCCTTGCTCGGACGTGTGTCACCAGAGTCCGCTTCTGGATCCAGGCCTGGAGGCTGGTGGTGAGGCCTACAACCATGGGGAGCCAGAAGAGGCAAAAACAGGAGCCAACTGTGGAGGGGCCAAGGTTGGGTGCAGAGAGAACTGGGTGACAACCTTGGTGGTCCCATCCCCAGCTACAGAAGGTGGCTCTCCGGGTGTGGAATGCCACCTCTTTGGCAGGGAAGGAGCCAAAGCTGGTGTACAAGGTTGAAAAGCTACGACTCGATGTAGTCTGGCTCACCTCCACACACAGCTTGGGATTTGGTACCATTCCTTTTTAGATGGGTTGGACACTTTCACTCAAGAGTTGCGCATGGTGAGAAGTGGCAAGCCACCAGCTTGGTGACTTTACAATGGGGTTCACCAGAGTAGATGTGAGTGTGGCCTCTGTCTGCCTTCAGGTGGGGAGGCAGGTGCTGACTGTTTGTGCCTATGCATCAAACAACTGTTCAGAGTAGTGTATGAGAAAAAAAAATCATAAATTATAAAAATAAATATTTAGAGTAGAGTGTGTGAGCGTCATCTGGCGCAGTGCAAATGTACGGTCACAGCACACTCTTTGAGCGTCATACAAAAGAGGGTGTGGCGGCATTATCAGCGGGGCTGAGGTTCAGGACCGTAGTTGAGCGCAGCATAGTTGAGAATCCATCCATTCATCCATCCATCCATTTTCTTATCCACTTATCCCCACAAGGGTGATGGGGTGTGCCGCAGCCTATCTCAGCCGTCTTCGGACAGTCGACAGGGTACCGCCTGCACTGGTTGTCAGGCAATCGCAGGGCACCTTGTGAGAATATGCAGATCAGAAAATGGATTCATGGATGGATGGATGGATGACCGCCACAATGAAACAGTGATCACTCAAATCATTGCAAAACACCCCAGGAGCATGATATTTATGAGAAGCATTTTTTTTTAAATGAGGTCAATTTAGGTAGGCTTTTCATAATACTTTGGGTTTGGACAGGTGGCGGAAACAATAAGATGATTCAAAATACGAAAATCACAGGAAGAGGCTGGACTAGGCCAATCCCAATTCATGTCTCCAGCAAGAATGGGTTCACTATGATTAGGGTCAAGCAAAACCTATTCAGGGCATAAAATAGACTGGGAAGAGTGGAAGGTGGTTGATAACAACCTTTTTAGATGAATGCCTTCTAGCATGGTCGAGTGGTTAGCGCGTCGACCTCACAGTGCGGAGGTACCGGGTTTGATTCCAGCTCCAGCTTTCCTGTGTGGAGTTTGCATGTTCTCCCCGTGCCTTCATGGGTTTTCTCCGGGTACTCTGGTTTACTCCCACGTTTCAAAAATGTGCATGGGAGGCTTATTTAACACTCAAAATTGTCCGTAGGTGTGAGTGTGAGCATGGATGGTTCTTCGTCTCTGTGTGCCCTGCTATTGCTGGCAATCGGTTCAGGGTGTCCCCTGTCTACTGCCCGAAGCCAGCTGGGATAGGCTCCAGCATGCCTCGCGAAACCCTACTTCGCAGTATTTCACTTATCACGGCCGGTTCTGATCCCTATTAACCGCAATAAGTGAGGGATCACTGTTGTGATGAAGGCCACAGAGAATCCAGTACGAGTTTAAGGTTTTGGCGTGTTAACAACCAACAGTAATGTTTTGTTCTGAAATAAAGAATTTGTTAACATTTCACTGATCCTCCTGGTTCGTTTGTCCAAGCAAAAGCAGCACAAAGAGGACACGAGTGAGCCAAATAGATGTCTACAGTGGGATTCCCACAATCACAGAGCCCAGCTAATAAATAGCATTTTTCTAGTCCAAGGCCGGACTAAAATAGTGTCATGTAATCATTTACATCACAGTCTTGAAACCTCTAATTCATTAAAAGCATCAAAGCATGTAAATGTAAAAGAAAATACATTGGTGTTGGATTTACTGGTGTTCATAACCCTCAGCCTTCAAAAGATCACATTCGTATTATGAATTCTTTGCAAAAATGGTCATTCGGGTTCCAAAGTAGGCTTTGACCTGCTGTCTCATCGGGTCTGTTTTATACTGTACTTACAAATTGTTTGGCATAAGTAACAACATATTAAAGATGAAATTTCATTTATGAGAGAAAACAAAAACTCGTGATGTTTTACACACATTGAAATTAAATCTTTGTGCCTTCGCAGTCCAATTAAAAATCTTTTTAATTCACATATATAGGCGAAGAAACAATTCGTGTTTTTGCTCTCAATTTGCAGAAATCTGATATGCGGCATGGCAGCATAAAATAAGAGCATGGCATCAAATGTGGAGACAAATTGGATATCTGTCAAAGAGCTGCCAATGTGACTGCAGCAAAAATGTAATCAAAACTCAAACAGAAAAATTTGCCTAAAATGGGTGGCGGTGTTCATTTGGAGTCATTACTCGAAATGAGCACCACGACGAGTTTGCTTTTGTTGACATCACATCTGATGGTGCAGGCCCATAAACACTCATGGACACAAAGTGCATGACCAAATAAAAAAGATGGGACATTGGATGATCCTTGAACCCTTCCATTTTGCCTGATCTCATCCAACAAAAACTTAATGAAAATTCAAGGTTAACGGCCAGATGAGTTTCATCAGGCAGCAGTGCACAAAAGTTCATGGCGGTGCAGCCTTTGGAAACCCATTTGTTGCGTGTTTGGGAGATAAAGTCACTCCGTGGCCATAAATGCTTTCCTCAGGGCTAGCCGCTAGCGCCTGTTGTCCATTGCCAGCGATGTTGGGTGTCACTAGTCAAACAAACATGCCTGTATTTATGGCACTTGTTCATGATGCTCATTAAAATCAACTCACAATTTTTATTTTTGCTGTACTATACACTATGTATGGTGGCCTGGTGGTTGACTGGTTAGCGTGTCGGCCTCACAGTGCAGAGGAGCAGGGTTCGATTCCGGCTCCGGCCTTGCTGTGTGAAGTTTGGATGTTCTCCTCGTGCCTGTGTGGGTTTTCTCTCGGTATTCCGGTTTCCTCCCACATTCCCAAAACATGCGTGGCAGATTAATGGATCGCTCTAAATTGTCCTTAGGGGTGAGTGAGAGCGCGGAAGGTTGTTCGTCTATGCGTGCGATTGGCTGGCAACCAAGTTCTGGGTTTACCCTGCCCACAGCCCGAAGACAGCTGGGAGAGGCACCAGCACGTCCTGCGACCATTGTGAGAATAAGTGAATCAGAAAAGGGATGGATGGATAGACAGTATACTATATACCGGTACTCTATTTTCACTCATACACAGCCACATACCACCACATACATTCACTTCCACAACCCACTCCAACTGCAAATGTCTGATGAGTATTCAGTGTGAGGGCGGGCCTGGATAATTTCATTTGTCCTCTTTGACATATTTGATAATTTCATTGGTCAAATGTAATGAGATTATGGATAAATCTAGTGACATCTTGAAG